GGAGGCAAGGGCGTGGTTGGTGTCCCCACACACCTGGACAGCACGAGGGCCGCGCTTGATGACGTAGGGACACGGGGGGAAGCGGTTGCGCTGGAATGGCGCCGAAGCGGCATAGGCTTGAGGCACGGGAGCGCGGATTGCATTGGCCTTGGCTCGAGCGCTGTTGTCCTTTTCGGCAGAAAGGAGCGCGGATGAGACCTTGGCAAATGTGAGGTCCGCAGAAGCAAGGCCCAAGAGCATCTTGCGTTGGCAGACGGGTAGTTGTGGTAGGTTTCGACAAGTTCAGGAGGAGTGGTGCCCATGAAGACACTAATGACCGCACCATCGGCCTTCTCCCAATTCTTGTACTTGAGCAGTGCAGCAGCATAAACTGCTTCGGCGGCGGCATTAGCTGGATCGGCGGACCTCTCGGGTTTAGGAGGCTCTTTGCTGTCACCGATGTTGAGAAGGACGTCGGTGAGCTCGAGCCCCTTCACCTCGCGACTGAGGAGGTGCTTGTCGACACCATAGCGCCAAGCCTTGTAGTTGGAGCATGTACCGTCCGGCTCGAGACGAAGGAGCGGGATCGGGTTGGCGAGTGAAGTGGTTGAGTAAGCCATTGTCGGTGTGCAGCGCGGCACTTCTGGAAATTGGTCGACAAGAATTGCTGAAAATCACTCTAACGGCTGTATCAAAATGCCGCTAAGTAGGAAATGGCGTCGGCGAAAATTCGTTAAAACGCCGACTTGAAACTGAATCTGAGCCTATGTCTAACCCCGGACCCACACACCCCCAGGCCCTTTCCCGCAGCTACACAACTCCGGAACCAGCTCCGCAACCAGCTCCGCAACCAGCTCCGCAACCAGCTCCGCAACCAGCTCCGCAACCAGCTCCGCAACCAGCTCCCCAACCAGCTCCGCTCCGCTTCAACCTGTGTACCTGCTCTTGCTTGACGCGAGACGTTCGTGGAGGCGATTTCGCGAGGGGAGTTCGCCTATTCTGGCGGGGTCTGAGGGGAATCTCGAGAACAAGTTTTAAGAGATGGTCGAAATTGAGATTCGTGAAAGGAGAACCGAGATGAGAAATTCAACGAGGTCGAGCGCGAAGGCGGTCGACGATGAGAGGCGCGACTGCAGAGTGGAGCACGTCGAAATTCCGATGACTCGAAACGAATGTCGCGACGATGAAGTGCGCGTAGCGTGGGCACGTTAAGATTAGAACCTTGATCCGCATGTGCGGATAGGTCGCTCTGATACCATGTAAGAAATAGAGTTGAAATGATTGATTAGGTAAGGAGCCCAAGGCTCTATACGTACATGGCAAGGTGAGAGTGAATGGATGAAGGGGGAAATTGGAGGGAATCCCCATTGGGATCTCCGGAATCTCCAATTGGATAATTGGAGATTGGGGGGATCACAATTGGGTGAGGTTGGGATTTGTGAGTACACCCCAACCCACTAGAACATTCATAACCTAACTAGGATATAAAAGTACAAATACAAAAGTGGTATTTGCATTCTATATCTTACACATGGCAAGGTGATGTTGGTTAGAGAAGACTATAAGCAGATGATTCAATGGCTCCTTGGAAATTTCTGCAGCACTTCGTTATGACGCCCAGAAAACTCGCGACCTTCGAAAAGCTATATCCAACATTCCGTAGCTTATCGAGTGAGCTATGGCGTTTGGCGCACTAGGGGGTAATCTGCCCTAGGAGAAATTGACAGTCCTCAGAGTCACTATGATAGAAGCTTACAAGTGCAGAGGCATGATGGAAAAGGCATTGAAGCATAGTTGAAAGGTGGGGTGGGAAGGGAAGGATGAAAGGGAAGGACCCTGGAGGCCCTTGGTCAAGAACATGAAAAGAGTCAAAGTCTTGACTCCCCATCCTCAGGTTCAGCCAGCCTGGCAAGACAAAATTCACACTGTGCCAGGTTGGCCTCCAAACCCCAAGTGCTGCAGCTGCAAGGTGGGGACAAAATTCCCACACATACTGGTCCCTCCTCGTTATAGGGCTCTCCAACTTTGGTGTAGCAGCTGCCAAGGACTTCCAATGAGTTGTAACAAATCCATCAAACATTTCTTCGTAACTTCTTCATATGTGCTCCGATTCCAACAATTCTTGGCTCGTTGGAATGCGCTCGATCTGATGTACAATCCAAGCACATCTGCACAAGCACAAGATAAATATGCAAAGACATGCAAACTCAACAAACCACACAAACAACGTAGCACACAAAACACATGCAACGAAATGATGCGAACAGACGACAGGATGACGTGCAAACGAATATGCATCACCACACTCCCCCTCAGACTGTCGGCTTGTTTCGCCGTCTCTAGTTCAAGGACATTACCGGGATTCTCGCACAGCGGCAATGGCTCCCTTGCTGTCACCGAACAGAGGTGTCGCACAAAGTCTGTTCATGGCCGATCTCCTTCAAGAGCCTCCTTAGCCAAATCATTTCTTTTGCCGCATGAAACATCGCCATGTTTTCACATTCCACTGACGATAGTGCCGTCTCAGACTGCTTCCTGGACCTCCAACTTACAGGCCCACCTCCCACCATGCAGATGTATCCACCTACTGATGATGAATCCTCATGCTCAGAAGCCCATGTTGCATCAGCAAAACAGGAAAGGAACACATTTCCTTCTCCAAGCTGCTCCCCCTTCTCTTTGAGAACTTCAACTCCTTTCTGACTGAGTTGAGCAGAGGCTGAATACTGTACTCCCACTGTAGGGTATGACTTGAGGTAGCGCACCACTCTCTCCGCTGCACCACACTGCTCTTCTGTTGGATTTTGCACTACTCGAGCCAGCTGTCCCATAGCAAAGCTGATGTCAGGCCGAGTATGCACAGCAGCGTAGAGTAGGCTCCCGACCATGGATTGGAATTGCCTCTGGTCTTCACTCTCAACTCCTTCTCCTTCAGCTGCCTTTATGAGTTTGAACTCGGAAGGCAAAGGTGTGACCACAACCCGTTCTTCCTGCAGAGAGTACTTCTCAGCCAAGGTATTGATGTACTGTCCCTGATGCAGTTTGAGCCAGCCACGTTCAGTATCCCGCTCAATGTGCATTCCCAGGTAGTACCTTGCCTCTCCAAGTGACTTGCACTTGAACTGCTCTGTGAGCTTCCGCTGCACCCCATCGATCTCCTTGTCACTGCTGCTGAAGAGCAGGATGTCATCCACGTACACCAGCAGAAGCACAAGCGACTCCCCCTCGCCCATCAGGAATAGGCTCTCGTCGCATGCACTCGCACGGAATCCAATCCCTTCCAGTGCACTGGCCAGCCTGTTGTACCAGCATCTCGGGGCCTGCTTCAAGCCATAGATGGCCTTGTAGCAGTTGGGGCAAACACTTCTTTGTAATCTTCCTTCTCTTTCTGCTGAAACCCCTTTGCCACCAGCCTGCTCTTGTAAACTGATGGCTCTCCTTTCTCATCCGTCTTGATTTTTGCCAGCCACTTGCACTGTATTGCCTTCTTCCCATTTGGCAAGTACACCAGGTCCCATGTGTGATTCTCCATCTGGCTGTTGTACTCTGCATCTCTTGAAACGAGCCACTTCCCCCGTTGAGGCCCGGCTAGCGCATGATCCATGCTCGGAGGTTGTATTGGTGCGTAAAAGCAGTATGCAGGCTCCTCGTCATCTGACTCTTGGTCATCACCCAAGAACAGCACTGCATCTTCGCCTTGAGCCTGTTCCTACTGCTCAGTTGTGGCTCCTCCACTTGTAGAGCTCAGCAGCTTTCTCGTTGCCATTCTGGTACGCGCAGGGTAGATGGTTGGATTTACCCATTCTTTCACCTTCACCCAATCCTTTGTCCCCCCACCAGTCTGTTTCCTTCGCTTTGGCAGACTTGGTGTTTTGGAAGCCTCTTGCTGCTGCTGCTCCGGATCCTTGACTTCAGCATCAGCTGCAATATCCTCATTGCTTCCTTCATCAGTACCGCTTGCCGTTGGCGCAGTGACTTCGCTTTCCTCAGGTTCGGACAAATCGAAGTGCATAGTGATCTCTTCCAGCTGCTGGGTGACCCTTGCCTCCGGCTGCTTCTCCCACTTGCCCTACATGATGTTCTCCACAAATTTGACATCCCGACTGTCAAACAGCACATTCTTCGAGGGCTCCCAGAGTAGCCACCCCTTGCTCTCTGCCGCAAGTCCAAGGTGCACACACCACAGTGCAGATGCTCCAAGCTTTGTCCTGTACGGTTTAGGGACATGCGCCACTGCCATGCATCCGAACACTCTGAGCATGTCCACTGGAGGCTTCTTTCCAAGCCACCTCTCCAGCGGCACCCACATATCATCAGCCACCTTTGTGAGTACGCGGTTCCTTGCCACTGTAGCATGCCTCACCGCATGAGGCCACATGGAGTTCCCCAGCCCTGATTCGATCAGCAGCGCTCGCGCAGTTTCCAGGATGGTCCTATTAGCCCTCTCAGCAACGCCATTTGACTGAGGGGTATAGGACGTCGTTAGCTGATGCTCAATGCCTTGTTTCTTGAGCCACGCAGTCAGATCTCCTCCTAGAAACTCTCCACCTCGGTCGGTTCTGATGCTCTTGCATGGGTGCCCAGATTGTCGTTCGACGAACGGCAGCCAGTCATCTCGTATTGTTGAGGCAGCATGATCCTTCTGCTTCAACGGGTATGCCCACATCAGCCGACTCCAGTCATCAACTATTGTTAGGAAGTATCTTTTCCCCTTTCTTCCCTGAACTGGAAAAGGTCCTACCAGGTCCATGTGCACCAGTTCCAGTGCTGCCTTGCTTTTCCCAGCTACGCCGTGAAAGGGGAACCGTGTGAACTTGCTCAGCAGACACGTCTCGCACTTGGTATCATTTGGTTGCCCAGAAAGCTTCAGCCCCTTTACTGCTTCTTCCTTATGCAGTTGCTGCAGCAATGGCATAGCCACATGCCCTAGACGCCTGTGTGCGGTTTCCCAATCAGTCTCCCCCAACCTTGCAGAAACCATCACTCCTGCAGCACTACCTGCATTGCACTCCCCCTGGACTCCACATCCCGCCTTTACTACTCCCAGCTCCTTCTTTGTTGATTCCCATATCAGTGCAGGGATGTGCCACATGGATCTGAAGATATCTCTGCTTTCGTGTAAATCCCATAACACACGATCTCCTCGCAGCCCCTTGAATGTTTTGGATCCGTTGGTGGTGGTGCTGACTCCGGCCTGGCCTAGCTTGCGCAGCGATATCAGATTGGCCTTCAGCCCTGGTACAAGTAACACGTCCTTCAGCACATCCAGTCCACCATCAGGTGCTCTGAATGCAGCTCGACCAACTCCAGCGACCTTCACTGCATGTCCGGATGCTGAGCGCACTTCAGAGATTGGAGGCGCTCGCACAGCATCCAGCAAGTCCTTGCGTGGTGTCATTGTCCATGCAGCACCAGAGTCCATAACCCACATGTCAAGCGGGTGCAATTCCTCTCCAGCCCTTGCAACAGCTGTGCCACTGTCATCTTTGTCACACACATGGTAGAACTGTCCAGCATTCCTCTCCTCATTTTCCATTCCTCTGTCATCCTTGGAGGTTTCTTCTGCAGGATCAGCTATCATGTTGGCACCTCCACGTGGTTGCTTTCCTTCATTCCCCTTTTGCGATTGGTTCCAAGGGGTCCACCAGTCGGGCTTGGTAGAGCAGCGAAACCATGGATGCCCTTCTTCCTTGCAATACCAGCACTCTCCCCTCAAGCGTGGTTCACTGTTGTCATTGTTGGAGTGACCACTTCTGCGGGCGTGGGGAAAGAAGAGGAGGACGTCAGTCCAAGAGGCCAAGAAGAATGATGCAGAGTCGAAGGGAGTAGAGCCGAAGGTAGTAGATCTGAAGGGAGTAGAGTCGAAGGTAGTAGATGTGAAGGGAGTAGAGCTGTGGCAAGGAGCATTGACTCTACTTCCACGACTATCGCTGCTTTGCCTGCCCCTGCTGGTCCCAGTACGAGTAGAGATGCTGACTTGCCACGGGGAAGTAGCTAAGAAGGTGCGGATGAGAATGAGACGAGACGAGGAAGTGGAGCAAGGGATGAAGTGAGGCACGGGGCTGGTGACGGTGGTGGGGAGGATGGTGCTGCTGGATCCGCTGTGCCAGGTGGCAGCAAGCCATTGGATGGTGGTGTCAAGAACTGGGTGATGACAGCATAAGAGAAGCTGAGCAAGGCTCGTGCATGGTTCCTTGCTAGGAAGAAGCAAAAGAGCATCTCGTAATTCTGCTTTGCTGGGAAAACGGAATACACTCCTAGGCCACTCTGATGTTCTGTTTTCATGCATGCAATCAATGAAATTTTGTTGAATGATACATATTACATGTCCTGAGTTCATTTTTTCTCAACTATTATTCACATTTATCGCTTATCGAAGTGCCTGCTGTGGGATGTAACAAATCTGCAGACACAAGTACTTGAAGTAGAAAATAATACTTGAATTACCTCCAGTAACAGTCAGTATCGTAAGGAAATTCCCTTTTCCTTACTCGGCTCGACTACAGCGCGTATGCCCTCGAATCTCGGAAGTCCAGGCTCAGCCAACTTCTTCGATCCCGAACCATTTCGCGAACCCAAACCTCGACGCGCAGCGGCGATGATCGAACCATCCAAGATTCTCGCTCATTGCGTACGAGGCCATCGAGATACAACAGCCTTTGATTTCCTCGTATGATGGGTTGATCGCACGACTGACGACGATCTTTGGGTCCTCGCAGCTATGCTCGGCGAACACAAAGTCGTCCGGGACTACTTACACTGACGACGTGTCCCGGACGTGAGTAGTCTCATCCCGGAAGGGGGGGTGGTGTAAGGAAATTCCCTTTTCCTAACTAAGCTTGACAACAGCGCGTACGCCATCGACTCTCGAAAGTCCAGGCTCGGCCAACTTCTTCGGTCCCGAACCATTTCGTGAACCCCAACCTCGACGTGCAGCGCTTCCGTGGCTTTCGCCAACCGGACCGACCCAACCCGTTCGCGTGGTTCCCCGCTAGCTCTGTCCGTGCCTATAAATGTCACGGCCCTCATTTGTATTGACACACTTGAATCACGGCTCCTATATTACACTATCTGTTATTACTCTGATTTATCCGTAACAAGTGTTAACAAGTTGTAACACTAGAATCAGTGTTACAGCCTTGCGATACTTGAAGACTTTGAGCAAGGATCTTTGCTGGAATGGTAGACTCGTAAGACAGCGGAAGTCTTAGAACTTGTAAGAAGACCCCCAAATTGGTTTTGGGCTTGTTTGATTCATCAGACCTGCCTGCTATCTCTTGGTATGGCATTAAGAGTCGCCCCTTAAAAAAAGTATGAAAAATCAGAGTAACGAAAGAGTTTTTGTCTGATTAATCCGAGATACCATTTTTTAAAACTCTCATTTCAAAGGTGGTGTATTGCACATTACTTCTCTCTTCCCTTCCCAACCGCTGCCCTCAGACTTCTCCCTTGAGGGGCTTTTGTAAGAAATAGAGTTGAAATGATTGATTAGGTAAGGAGCCCAAGGCTCTATAAGTACATGGCAAGGTGAGAGAGAATGGATGAAGGGGAATCGGAGGGAATCCCCATTGGGATCTCCGGAATCTCCAATTGGGTAATTGGAGATTGTGGGGATCACAATTGGGTGAGGTTGGGATTTCTGAGTACACCCCAACCCACTAGAACATTCACAACCTAAACTAGGAAATAAAAGTATAAATACAAAAGTGGTATTTGCAGTCTATTTCTAACACACCCCCATAGACTGCAAACCCGGTCAAGGAGCACATAGCCCCATGGAACGGAGAAGGCGAACCAGGTCAGCCTTGCCAAGAGCCTTGGTAAAGAGGTCGGCGAGGTTGCAATCTGAGGCGATGTACCGTACCGTCAGCTGGTCACTCTGAACAAGATCTCGGATGAAGAAATGACGAAGTTCGATGTGCTTGGTGCGAGAGTGGAACACTGGATCCTTGGTGAGATGAATGGCACTCTGGTTGTCACACCACAGGGTGGGCGACTGCTGGGGGTAGCCTAACTCAGCGAGGAGAAAGGAGAGCCAGCGTGCCTCTTGAGCAGCCATTGTGCCCGCGTAGAGCTCGGCCTCGCAGGACGACAGGGAGACTGCAGAGGACCGAGTGGAGCGCCAGCTGATGTCTCCGCTACCAAGGATGAAGCAGTACCCTTGGGAGGAGCGTCTGTCAGTCTGGTCACCGGCCCATGAGGAGTCTGTGTATCCCTCGAGCTTGACTGAAGAGGTACCACCAAGAGTGAGGATGTGAGACTTGGTGGCTTGTAGATAGCGGAGGACCCTCTTGGCTGCAGACCAATGCGAGGCAATGTAGCGTCTGGGGGAGACGTACCGAGAGAGGACACTAACCTGGTAAGCCAAGTCTGGTCGAGTGCACATCATGGCATACATGAATGAACCGACTAGCTCAGGGTACGGGTCCTTGCAGGCGTCAGGAGAAGGAACTGGAGGGGCCGTGAGCTGATGCTGTAGTGGGAGTGGAGTGGAGACAGAGTTACTGGAGTCCATGTCGAACCGCTTGAGAAGTTTGTCGATGTAGGACTCCTGAGAGAGAGTGATCGTGCAAGCCTGGCGGTCACGAGTGATCTCCATCCCCAGGTAGTTCTTGAGGTCACCAAGATCCTTCATGAGAAGGGCGGAGCTGAGAGCAGACTGGACAGCTGCCATGTCGGCTGGATCTCTGGCGGCTAGAATGAAGTCGTCGACGTAGACGAGGATATAGAAGGGCTCGGAGGAGTGACGAACGAAGAGACTGGAATCTGAGGCAGAGGGATGGAAGTCAAGTGCGAGGAGGACTTCCTTCACCTTGTTGTTCCACTGACGAGGAGCCTGCTGTTGGTGCATATTCGTTTGCACGTCATCTTGTCGTCTGTTCGCATCATTTCGTTGCATGTGTTTTGTGTGCTACGTCGTTTGTATGGTTTGTTGGGTTTGCATGTCTTTGCATGTTCATCTTGTGCTTGTGCAGACGTGCTTGGATTGTGCATGACATCGAGCACATTCCAACGAGCCAAGAATTGTTGGAATCGGAGCACATATGAAGAAGTTACGAAGAAATGTTTGATGGATTTGTTACAACTCATTGGAAGTCCTTGGCAGCTGCTACACCAAAGTTGGAGAGCCCTATAATGAGGAGGGACCAGCATGTGTGTGACTTTTGTCCTCACCTTCCAGCTGCAGCATTTGGGGGTTAGAGGCTAACCTGGCACAGTGTG